CAGTGGTGCTCAGTCGTCTTCTTCCCCTCCCCTCTTCTTCCTCACTGCAGTACAATGAATTCTGCAGCATGTGACAAAGAACCAAAGAAGGCTTTCCTGAACGTTTTTACAATTTCTCTGCTCAAATCAAAGAGCTCACCTTTTAAAACCACAGTGAAGCTGCCGTCCAGTCTCTGCACTGCAAGTATCTTTCCAGCGCCAGTGCACTGTTTTTTTTTTTTTTTTTTTATTATTTTTTTGACAAGCGTCCACTGCCAGATTCTCTGAAAATATGACATGTGGGCAACCACAAACCTAGGTTGCCACCCTTATCATATACAAACACTGGGGCTAAACTTCCCCTTGTGTTGCTTGGGAAACAGCTGAGCGTGAGCCTCTGTGCAGAGAGATCTGTGGTCTGATGAATCCCCATTCAGTTGCTTTACAAATGCCCTATCAGAGAGGGATTTTGCATGCTAGCAACTGCCATTCAAGCACTGCACACATACTGTCAGGCAGGTCACAAATCAGGACAATTAATTCTTGTTCTTGGACTGTTTCGCAACGCCAGCGTCATCCTCAGGGTTAATTGTCACAATCAAATCATGTTACCCAGCCTTCTCTACAAAAGAGTCCACTTTTATTCACTTTAGTTCACTTTAATCCCTGCTTTTATTCCAGATAAGACCTCAATCTTACATTTCTCATCTTTCTAATCAACACTTGATGCAGGATACTATCTGCATTATTTGGCTAAAAACAAACATCTTCATTTATGACTTAATGGATGGTGATATTTCTGACCCTGTTACAACCAGGCATTAAAACACGTAGTCAAGGTTATGATTCTTGCATCGTTTGTAGGAATGGAACTGAATTTTACTATGCTACATCCCCAGATTCTTATAATCATAGGCACACATGCTAAGCACCATCTCGTGAGCTGGATTTGTAACTGACAGGTTGGAGGTTCAATTCCCAGAAGGTGCTTAGTAGATGTAATCTGAGCTGTAACGTATGATAGACAAAAGGACAAAATTGGCAAGTGCCGTTGTAAGAAATGACAGATTTGTCTGGATTAAACACTTACTCATCAACCACATATAAGCTTGCAGTCAGCCACATTACAGTTACTTCTATATAGTAGGTGTTTTACAATAACTGCTGCACAGACTATTAGATGGTGAACTTCCAAAAAAAGCAGCCATAAGTAAACTGGGCTTTTGGAAGTCTGGTTGCCGTAAATGTCGCTCAACGAAAAATTCTATCCCTTTCCCCAGGAGATTTTCAGTAAATCGATTACTTTTTACAAAGCAGCATCTGCATTATTCTAGTGATAATAAAAAAATATATGTTAATAAAACTGAGAGTATTGTCAACTAGAGAAGACGAGACTACATCCACAGCTGTGTAAAGCAAGTGATAAACAGGAGTGCCACCTACAGTCTAGCCGTCTGACTTACTCAGTGCCTGAGGTCTGCTGTCAGCAGGGAAACATGACTGTGAGGAGCACTTTACTGCAAACCAGATAGAACTGGCTCTTTAAGTGGACCTAAGCACACCAGTGAACTTTAATCAAAACATTACATACTTGTAAAATGATATTGCAGGAGACAAATTTGAGAAAATGATTTTCTATTGGGATTCCGTTTACCAAGTTTGCATTATTTAAAATACATTAGTCTTTGTTTTCTGTATGTGTGCATGCGCATGGTCACACATTCGCTTTATTGGATGATGTCTGATTTTGATATGACTAGTGCTAGCAGATGCCATCCCAGTGATATTCAACATGAAGTATTTAATTAAAGTAATTTACACACTTCCATTCTGCCTTACACACATACACATGTGTGTGCACGCACACACACGCACACACACACACACACACACACAGATGCTCATGTCTGAGCTTTAAATAGACTGAGGACATGAGCAATAGTGTGAGACCACTGCTTCAGTATTCAGATTGGGTTTCAGATGGTGAACAGGATACAACACTGTTTCTTTTCTCAATTATCAGTTTTATTTAAATAGCTCATTCAAAAAGGGCACATCTCTGACTGACTGACAGCACTGAAAACATGTGTACAAAGTGCCACAACAATGAAAAATAATAATAATTTAAAAATCCAAATTGTGGGAACTTTCCCAGTCTTACTCTGACACCTGAATGATACTGACCAAAGGTCCAATGAGTCTATGCAGACAAGCCACTGGCCCTTTCTTTATCACCTGCCCTATGGGCATCATGTCAACTGATCAGCATGTCTACGCGAAAAGAGAGAAGTGGCATTCGACAGTGGAAAATATTTCTGAGTCGCAGGAAGCCTAATTATATCTCATGTCAAATGCATATTCTCACAATAGCATAACTTATATTGCTCACAAATAAGGTATCAATGGCAAACAAGCAAAACTTGCTAATTTATGCTGCAACGAGTAACATTGTTAGACGAGGCTATGACTCTTGCCACTTGACCTTCATGCAGCAATATCGAGATCCTGGAAACATGTTACTATGCGTCAGCCTTTTTTGCGAGATACACATGAAACCTAAGTTCTGATCTTGCAAGTTTCTCTTTACGAAAAACCTCATCCATAAAATATGGCCCTCAAAAATGCAAAAAAAGAAGTTTTAGTTCCAAAGCCAAAAGGTAGGTATTAGACCCAAGTAACGTTCGCTGTGAATTTACTGACATACTCAATTATTGTTACACAGCCAGTGTAAAGCCAGCATCTGGACAAAACAAGAATTTTACAAATTCAATTAGCAGAAAGTTAAGAATATTTCAATCCACCTGCATGTCTCTGAATATGAGTATCATCTGTGAAGTATTTATAAGGTAAATGTTAGCTGGCAAGCTGTGATGCCGCTACTTGAGGTATAATAAAGACTATTATGCCACATCACAGATGAGGCATACTCAGATCGCCAGATACACTACTGACCCGAGCACCAAGCTCCTAAACCTGCAACAAGCAGTTATTGTTTGTCGCGGTATCATTGTATCAAATGTTGGACCTATCTGAAGATACAAACTGCAACTTTACTGTGCGGTTCTCAAATGTATCAGTAAAGCTTTAGATCCATTTGGTTAAAACTATTTCTTATTGTTATTTTATTAACAGTTTAACCCAAGTAACCACAGGGGCCAAAGTTTAGAAGTCTACATTTTCAAAATATATTTATATATAATATCACATTTATCATCTTTCTTGGGACAAGTTTCACAACTTTGGAACCAACTTGGATATTTAGACAACTATCTTGAATAGGTTTTCCCTCTAAATTAAATACAATGGTTCTACCTGCGTCACACATATCACATGGTAAGATATAAAGCAAAAGACTGCAACATAAGTGTCATGATACAATTTACATTCAGTAGACATGACAAAAAATGCTCAATTCAGATTTTATATGCAGTTGACTTATAAATTTAACAAAGAAAATTTAAAAATACAAATTTCTGTTTTTTGCGGCACTAAAAAATTTACGTATTGTAAGTCGAGAATATCTATCTATTTATTTATTTATTTATTTATTAGGAAACATGAATGATTTCAATTAAACTCAGTCACCACACATTTCTGAAAAAGGAATATCAATTTTAATATACCAGAAAGGCCATATATTTTAAACAAATTTGACTATTTAAAATGATGTACAAACGCTAGCATACCAAAACCCCAGTCACTGTTTCATATAAAACAGTAACAATCAATCACGGTTGTTTTCCGAGTACATTGGTTATAGACATTCAAAACCATATTAAACACATTCTGTGTGGGGGCTCTAAGATACTGGAAACCAAACATTTGATCGCAATTCCAGTATCTCTTAGTGTTGTAAATAATCTATTCGATAAACGTATTCCGATTAGTGAATTAGGCCTAATCAAAGAGTAATAATCGTAATGCTAGGTGAGATCCGAAAGCGATTGCTACCTGCTGACTGTGCCAGGAAGGTAGGGGGCTGGTGAATATCGGGACCCCAATGGCAGTTCTATCACCCCTCCCCTTTCCTGTCACACCTTGAGAGACTGAAGGAATATCAGAGACTTTTGGATATAGAATTACACCCATCATTCCGCTGACATTAGTAGTGCTGCTGAGTTTCGTTCGAACTATACAAAACAGTAACATGGAAAACTTTAATCGTCAACATCGCACGACTTTTTCATGACGACCGGTCTACCCTTTCAGTGAGCTACCGAACTATTTTCAGACAGTTCACACGCACCGACAGAAAAACACCAAAATAATATTTAATGATGACAGAGTACGTAAGAAAAACGAATGGAAAATTAAACCAAACATCCGGTATACCAAGATCTGATTGCCGGTTAAATTTAGACAGTGAAATTGGATTTATAGCAAACCCTAGATGTAGTATATTTCACTATGTGCAGTTTACATAGATGTGTTGTAACGTGCAAAAATACGTAACACCGCTTTTTAATGGGACACACTTTATATGGTGTACGCGTACCTTCTTGTATGCAACAAGTTGAATAAGTTGCATTTTAGAATATACTGTATATTCATTCTCCCTGTAATAGTTATAACGTCAGACGATTAACGTAAGAAACATTTACAGCGGCGGTCAATAGTAATATGAATGACAACAAATACGCACCTATATACATTTCTCCCATTTATGAATAAATAGCGGTCTACATCATAATACTTAAATTTCTTGTCAACTTAAGTGCGCAGTTTCATACATTTAAGCATAGAGGATCCTATAGGACGTGTCGAAACCCGCTGTGTTCGGCAGCCGAAGCGTGAATACTTTCAGTCAAGCCCTTAGTAAAACCTGTATTCTGAGATTAAGTAAAGAAAACTGAAAACCGTATACACCAGCCTAAGTTTCTTGTATTCCACTGTTTAGAAGGCTGCCTGTTATTGAGCCACCTTTGACAGACACTTTGCTGGTAAAAGTTTAGTACAATCTACCTGCTTGGTCTATCATAAATTCACTCTTAAAACATTTGAGTGCGCAATCCTGTACTTACCGTCCCTGTTTGGTAATGATCATTTCGGTTTGATATTTGTGGAACTTGGCCCAAAGTGGGAAGTTGTTCAGAAGAGCTTGCGTCTTTCCGCACACCTGTAGCCCAGGTAAAGGATATAGGGCTGGTCGCGGATACGGGTGCTGGAAGGGCGAAGTGTAACTCTCTCCACCAGCCTGGTAAACGTCTTTGGCCGTCGTCGCAAAACCGTCCCCTCCTGCCGGTGCACAGCCCTGTCCCGGGCCGTTCCTCCCCTGGGATCGCATGGTATTGAAAGGACAGCTAGTGAGCGGCGTATGAGGGTAATACCTCCCGGTCTGTGCTTCGAATCCGGCCACAGCCTGACCCGCATGGTACGGGAGAGGCAGATTGTCCGGGCTGTTTTGGATAGGGTCTTGATAATAAAATCTGGTATCTTGGATTCCCATTTTAAGGTCAGTTAAATCCTTGGTGCGGTAAACGTGGTTGTTAATATCAGCGTCTTTCTCAAAACTTTGCGTTTCAGTCCCATTCAACATGCTGGGGTAAAAATTACCACCTATACCGCCCATTTGCAGCTACAATCTGAACGTCTTTGAAATGTCATAAGTTCACAGTGTCTGTAAGTTTTAGTAAAAAAAAATAAAATAATAAAGGCAATGACTACGAAAAATACGACTCTTTACTCAAAAGAAAAAAACGTTACGGCTGTTACATCGACTAAGGTTATTGACTAGTCTGTATGCTAAGCATAAAGTTTCACATTCTTTTTTCAGGTTCTACCGTTAAAATACGTATTAAATAACAAAAACTAGATTTAAACTATCATGTAACATAATAACACTCTTCATTGGCTATTTTTAATTCTAAATCTCGGAATACATTTGTCTACCCTTATTTTCGACCTAGCTTCCTCTGAACTCTTAAAACACATGCCTGTCTTTTCTACAAATAATATATACATTTCGTGTCTGGGGATAGCTTTGGGGGCGGGGCAGAGGAGGGCGTGTGATTGGTTAACACTACAAGTTTCCGAGCTGCGCCTCTTGACTGTCTGTGAGCGTTTTAGTCCCCGAAAGTTACAATAGAACACCCCAACAGTCATTTAATGATCTTTATTTTGCCAAAGAAAAAAACAGTTCTTTTTGCACAGATTTTAGTGTAAATATGCCATCACTATTAATTTTCAAACGAATTAATAGATTAGTGTTTAATAAACTTAAAATGCACACTTCTCCCTGAGCATCAGCTGCAGGTGGTGTTACGACGTAACTCTACACCAGTTACGTAGACAACATTGGTTATGTGTCGTGAATTTCTTTGTTACATCCTTGTTGCTTCTTTAAGCAATACGATTTACAGGATGTTTTAGTAATTAATTTGTGTTTCATCTTGAAAGTTTAGGAAGAGGAATATCTGATCGAAAGTCCAAAATCCGAGCCGTGTGAGTATGACATTGTTAAACCACAGCGGCTACGGTGTCAGAATAATCGCATAAAGCCTTCCACGTGTTTCTCATCACTAATTTAATACGAGGATGACAATTTACATATACTGTACTTATTTAGCAGACGCCATTATCTGAAGCCACATAAAGTCCCTGGAGTAATTGTGGGCTAATTAAGGGCCTTACTGAATTAGCCTATAGAATCACTCAGCCGCCACTTGAACTAACGACCTTTGCACCACAAACACGGGGTCTAAACTCACTGAGGCACACATAATTTAAGTTAGGTCGTTCTGCTCAGATTATGGGGGAAAAAATCCGTAAATACATGACGTCATGATTATTTTATAACCTTAACTGCAAGTAGGGTCTATTAACTCTAGAAAGGCCTATAGCTTTTTTAAATAAGCAAAATTCAGAGGAGAAATTTCTTGTTAATGAGTCATATTGTATTTTCAGAACCTTTAAAATGAATTTCCATGGATCTGTGGATCTGTACAATTAACGTTTTAGACCAATTATACTGTTACTTTATTATTTCCCCTATTTTATAGTTTTAAATTATGTGGTTAAACAAATAATAAATCTTTATTTCATTGCTGACACAACCGAGAAATCGTGTCTTTCCTGTAAAGGAAGTCACAGAAGCAATGATTCGCAGCTGGTCGTGTGTGTAAAAAATGGTTCAATTACCAAAAACGGTTCAATTGCCAAATAATTGTCTTCTGATTAATAACCACAGAACTATTTTCTGACAGAGTAAAGGACTGCGCACATGATTCTGTGACAATATGTGTAGGCAGTCTTTAATTACGTGTATTTAATTTGAATCCTATTTTGGAATGCAGAAATGTAACATTAAAGACTGCTTCGTAAGCGACGGAAGAAAAGTAGGGCTATACAAAAGAAAGGATAGAAGCTCACCTCCAGACAGCCTTTACGGAATTCAATTGCCCAGGTACATTGTTTATTTAAAATCTTATAATAATTTCCCCTCTTTTCAATCAGAACTCATTTACAATGATATTAAATGCGTAATATAGCCTATGTCATCTATGCATATATAAATGACTAGGATATATTATCAGACTGGTGTAAAGACTGTCATCATGAAAAATTCTGTGGTGTTCGGAGAGTTGTGGTATTTGTGGAACTGAGCTGTTTTTATTCACTAGAGTAAGCGGTGAATAATTAAAATAACTGTTATTAGGCCTGCAGTTTCTGTTAATTAATGAAATATAGCCTATTTGAAAGTCTGCTGTGCCATTTCTCTTGGTATTTGCTATAGCTGTGTTTAGATCAACAGCAGTTGCATTGTTCTGGGGAATTAAGGGCAACGTTCTTCCTAATTCACAGAAACAACGCGGCACTTAACGGGTTTTCTTTTTAGGAAATCTAACTAGAAAACAACCCACAGAAGGTCGGAGATAACCCAAAAACCCAGCACCGAATGACTTGGTACACGACGTAACCCGTAACCGTACTGATAACAACTTGCACTGTCGGTGAACCTTGTGTTCACATCGCACAAGGTCATATGCAGACAAACAAAAGGCGGGAGTCGCGCCCCTTTAGACATTTAAAAACCCTGAAATTTTGGTTTTGGGTGAGGTACTCATGCCAAACGAGCGCTGATCACTCCGCAATATCCAAATGAACTCAACATGCAATACAGTGATCCCCAGCCTATCGCGGAAGTTACGTTCCAGACCCATCAGCGATAGGTGAAAATCCGCGATATAGAAAGACCATAGGCCTAAAACAAACATTTTTTATAGTTTAAGCCTTAAATCGTGGGGCTTAGAATAAAACGATAAGTTGGCTCACAACAATCGGACCACAAGCAAGATATGTGATAAGCAGAGAACTGTGACGCGGCGGGGGAAAATCCGCGATATAGTGGGGGCGCCACCACGATATAGCGGGGATCACTGTAGCTGATTAATATCCATCTCTCCATCTTCCAGCCATTTATACTTGAAACTGTTGCGTTGGTACATTCTGAATGGACTGCTTTCCATCACAGAGCAACTTTTGTAATTTCGATATTTAAATTAAATATCATTTTTCTAATTGGTGAGATTTTTAAATGTGAATGTGTAATGTAGGAATGGATGTGGAGTTTTGCCTGTATCGTGTGGCAAGCCCATATAAAACTGAACCTGTAGTGAAAAAAAACACAGAAAAAGTCGCGTTAAACTATTAAAACCGATGTTCAAAGTACCACCCCGTGAAATGCCTTGATGTGCAACATTATAAGTCGTGGTGATGATATTTATTTGTTTTTGTAAGTTTTCTGGGGTTTGTAAGTTTTTAGCTATAAAGAATTTAATTTAGTCATTTGATTGCATTTAACTACAACTGTTTTACAATTTTGTTTTCGAAAACAATTGCGTTTTCTCTGGAAAATTCACATCCTCTTCTGTGGAAATGGTGTTACTTGTAACCCACAATACACTGCACGGAAAAATACAAGAACTGCAGTACTGAGGTTCTTCCATTGATTTTTATGGACTTGGCATCAAAGGCTTACATTCTGTACCAGAAATTCAGTGACTTTATTCACTTTGGAATTTTCAGCTTTTACTCTTTGATGACAAACACGGAGATATTGTTATGTAATGTTAGTTGCTAACGGAGGACTGCAAAGGAAACCATGCGGTGACAGGCTGAGAAGAACAGGGAAGGCTGTGTTATGGATAGTGAGAGTGATGACACTTTACAAATTTCAGTTTGCCCAGTATGAATGTGAATTTTGGGGGGTGGGGTTGATGGATGTCTCAAGGCAGGCAAAAATTGTGAGGAAAAGTATCCTCTTTTATGTCAGCCACCGCACACCAATAATTACTTAAGACTCATTTCTGTCTGTGTAAAAACCCATCCGATCTCATACCCAGTTTATAATTCTCTTCATTGCCCCACTTGAAGAAAGTATTGTGTTGTGAATTTCAGTCATATTGTGTACACACAACTTCTTAAAGAATGCTGGGGGGCAGTCTGCAGATTTTTTTATAATTATGATTAAATTTGAATGTCACTGGGGTATGGGAATCAACACTATATCAGAATTTAAATAGCTAGAAATTTGGATATACAGTAATGCATTCTGGCTCCCAGAAACACACTCACATGCAGTAACCCCAGTGCAGGTATGACACAGCTGTCTTTTGACTGGCATCGCATAAATGTTACTTCCTGTGTGTCTCCTAGCAAGGTGAGCTCACAAGGGCATGTGGTGAAATCATTTGTCTTGACATCCTGGACAGCGGGGACGCAATGGGGTGACACCGCGGTCAGGCCAGCCAGCCGGGTCCTCGCGCCCTCAGGCCAGTGCCCTCGTTCCTACTATTTTCCTCTGCAGGTTGAGCCTCTTGGAAGTTACCTTGTATACACGATTACATCATGTTAATTGTGTTAATGTGAGTAACAGATGGAGTGGGTGGTCTCTTACCTCACATGTGCGGGTTGGATAGGTGGAACAGACACAAGGTGATCGCCCTGATTTTTAATTTAGGATCTTGGTAGTTATAAAAATCACGATCGATTTTTGTTTCTCATTGATTGTGGAAGAATGATGGTTTTGCCCTGATGCTCCATATTAAGAATGTTAAATGCTGCTTTCCTGCAAAGCAAGAACCGATTTTAAAGTATTTGAGAAGTGAGGGAGTTTATGTGTGTTGCCAGTTGTCCAGTGTCCTGTTGATCAAGGAGTGTAACAAAGGACTGACAGCCATGAAGCAGCCACATCTCACTGAGCAAGGTCACGAAACAGGACTTTTAGTCAATAAGTTGTCTCATCAAATAAATCCTCTCTCACAACAGTAAAAGCAGAAAGGCTGTGTAATACCAGTGGGGACAGTGTCCTGCTAGCTGAAATTTCATGGAGGCAAATTCTTTGGTATTCTCTATACAGGTGTCTACCAATCCTAACTCTGCCATTCAATGTTAAATTTCCAACCAATATGGGCTACTCTGTCCATTTTACAGTCACTTACCCTGGTCAGGGTCACTAGGACCATATTCCAGGTAAGACAAGGCTGGGGTGCAGCCTGGACAGGACGCCAGTCCATTACAGGGCACACACACTCAGTCATTCTTTGTGAGCATTTTAGAGGCCCTGATTAGTCTAATTGCATATATTTGTGTGGTAGGAGGAAACCAAGTGACCAAGGGAAGAGATGTGGAAAAGGCAACTGTGCCACACAACAAACATGCTTTATTTGCTGATTAGACGAGTACCCTGTAATGCTTCTCTCCACCAACCCCATCTTGGGGGTGGGGGGTGTTTTCAGTGCAGAGTCAGCCAGTGCCCCTGAAGCTGGGGAGTTAGGGGCCTTGCTCAAAGGCCCCCAGACATGTGAGTGTTCCACCTGGGCTGGGGTTTGAGCTGGTGGTCTTCTGATCAGAGGCACAGGACCATATCTGCTAAGCCACTCACCAGCCCCAGCCTCCACTGGGCCACCATGTCTGTCCTGAAGTAAGGTTTATG